CAAAGTAATTTTTATTCTCTATTTTCTTTATTATTTGTTATATCTTTAATTCATTTAGAATTTTATCAAGATTGAAAAGTATTTTTTATTTTAAGAAATTGGACTTAACTAATAAATAATATTAAATAGTTAATAATTTATTCAATAAAATCAAATATTTTCCCATAAATATATATAGAATTTTAATAAAATGCTTTTAAAATTGTATTAAACCTCTTAAGAATACATTAAGCTAAATCAGGTATTCACAGGTAAATCCAGGTAAATCCAAACCAAAAATCAGACTATAATTGCTATCAAAACACACTTTACACCTATTGTTCATACCTAATTATTAAATGTGTGCAAAACGGGAACACACCCTCCTGACTGTGTTTATAAAACATTAATTATGCTGGTCTAGCTTGTACTGACCATGAAAATTTCACTCTACCAAGGAAAATAGAAGACATGCAGACATTATATGATTAACAGATCAAAATGTACATCCTGTCTACTTTTTCAAAAAGTTTGTCAATGCAATTATTTTTTTCATAAGGTACTATTTTTTTTCATATTAAAGACACTAAACAAAATAGTCTATATGCTTTATTATTAGATATTTTAGGCAGCTAGGGGTTAAAGTGCCCCAAAAGTTAAATTGCTTCATGACATCAAATAGTTAAACAAAAAGTGGATATTGTACATGTGTTGTTTAACTGACAATTTTAAAGTTTGAACTTTCTGTGAATGAAAGTTATTAACAATGTAATATATACAAAAACTTGAAATCAAATTTGAATTATTATTTATCATGTTTAATTTTGAAGGGGGTGGAAACATGAAAAAAAAATCGCTAAGTTTTGTTTAAATTTCCATGTTTAAAACCTCCAAAAGTAATGGTAATGGTAATGCATTACTTTACTAAAGTAATGGTAATATAATGCATTACTTTAAGAAAATAGAGTAATGGTAATGGTAATTTAATGCCCAAATTGTTGAAGTAATGGTAATGTAATGCATTACTTTACAATATAATTCGCCCCAAGCCTGGTCACAACATTGGCTTCATTTCATTGGGACGTATTTTCACTGAGTTATTTAAAACCTAAAATAAATTACTATTTTTTTTATATTTCATTGAAAAATGACTTATTACTTTGTCTGGCAGATAAAGTGCATGTGCACTATCATTACGGAAGCACATGGCATAGGAATGAGTGAACGTCTAAAAATAACATCGGTAATGGCGGCCTACTCGGAGACAATCAACATGCAGCTCAAATTACTTTTAACTTGCTTTTTTATGTTATTTTAGTATCAAAAGATTATGAAAGTGACATTTTTAACAAGCATACCTTCCAACAATAACTTTCCGAAGTTTAAAATATGGTGATAAACAAAAGAAATTGCAAATGTCTCTAGGTAATACTATGATATGTACGTATGATAGCCGTGTTTCACCTGAAAGTAAAACTTATGAAAATCCCATTGTGATGTAAACTACGGATCCCTTTCTCACAGAAATTTATTTTAGGAAAAAAGTGCGTATTATATTCCCGCAAATACGGTACCAACTTTGTTCATCTGCACTTTGATTTTAAACACGACAGGATTTGTAATTTTTTCCGTGTAAATTAATAATTTCTATATACTTTGGAAACTCAAATCAAATATTTTAATACACTTTCCTCGAGCTCTTTTCTGATCTTTTTAACATTGATTGTGACATTTGGATGAAAGGTCAAGGTCATTGAAAACCACCACCTCTTTAACTTCTATCCTGCTAACCGAAATAAACTTTGAAAGGTGTTTCTAGATAGATGTACATGTACTTCATGTTTCTTTAAACCCTTGGCTCAAGGACAAAGGTTAAGGTCAATTTCAAGTTCATAGGTCAAGGTGATTTTGATAAATAGCTAATATCAACATTTAATTCAGGTTACCAGTGACCTTGACCTAAGTTTCAAGGTCAAGGGTCAAAAGATCTGCATGCTTCAGTATGTTACATGTCTTGACATTTAGAAGTTCTTAATTCTGTATAGCTCATAGTTACTTGGAAATGAATCCTGCATCAAAAAATTTAACCTGTTCACTCATCCAGAAAATGTAGGTCAGATTCAGCATCCGAAGCAAGTCTGGTAGTATGCATCCTAAGATGTATCATCCATGCAAGTCTAGTCATTATAGCTGGCACATTGTAACTTGGAAATGAAACCTGTCCCAAAAACTTTAACCTGTTCACTCATCCAGAAAATGTAGGTCAAATTCAGCATCCGAAGCAAGTCTGGTAGTGTAAATCCTTAGATGTATCATCCATGCAAGTTTGGTCAACATAGGACTTATTGTTCCTTGGAAATGAGACCTGCACCAAAAACATTAACCTGTTCACTCAACCGGAAAACGTAGGTCAGATTCAGCATCCGAAGCAAGCCTGGTAGTGTACATCCTTAGATGTACCATCCTTGCAAGTTTGGTCAACATAGGGCTTATATTTCCTTGGAAATAAGACCTACACCAAAAACTGCACCAAAAATGTTAACCTGCTCCAAAAACATTAACCTGTCATTCCTTTGCTGAAATTGCAGCATCTGAAACTTTGACTGGTACAATGAAACACATTAGATGCATCTTCCATGCATGTCTAATCAATATAGGACATAGAAGTACTTAAAAAGAAAACTGCTTCAAAAAAATTAACCTTAACCTGGGACGCCGACGCCGAGGGTATTACATAAGCTCCCCCAACTTTGTTGAGGTGAGCTAAAAAGTGGGTCACAATGACCTACTTTTGAGTTAGCATGATAATTTATGATATTTTAAAGCAATATGAGCTGCATTTTAAAAAATTTTATTTTGCTCTTAAAATGTGTTTCATTGAAATCATGACAAGTTCGCATGTAATTCAAATCTTTTTGATTGTCTAAAATAAAGCAATAAATTGTTTCCAAAGAAAGACTTCTATACAATCGAATATACAGTCATTTAAGACTACGACCACATTAATATTATGAATACCATTAGATGGATTTTTTTTTTTTTTTTAAAAATCATTTTTAAGTTTTATCAAATTCTTTAATAAAAATCATGTACCAATAGTCACTCAAAATTAATTAATTTTCAAACGCGTCAGACTCTGTTAAGAGTCATATTGGGTGAAATATAGTACATGTAGTAAAATTTATCGAATATGTTTATTTATAAAATCATATTTATTTATAAAATCAATAATCTCACCACAAATGATCTTCAAATTGCTAAATATGTAGAATTAATTTTATAATTTAAAGAATGCCATATCGCTTCTTTTTATATGCACCGTTATCCGTGTACACGATTAGCTTGTGCAGTTGCAGTTACATATAGCTATGCATTTATTTATTTGCGAGGTTCTATCGCAGTCATCGGTTTCATTTTTAAAAAATGCCTTTTATACAGTGCACATATCTGTTATGAATAAAAGCATGAAAAACGATGATAGATAGAGATAAATAATAACAATCAAAATATTAATAATAGTAAAAAAACATATGTACATGTAGGAATATGTTGCTCCCTTATTATGCGCTAATTTGTAAGACCATGAACTTAATATCGACATGATTTTTTTTTTCTTTGGGGGGGGGGGGGATTATAAGTCATTCTATTCAGAATATCAATAATTTCATAGCTAATATTTTACTGTGGTTCTATTTTCTGCTCTTTTCGGAAATTATTAAAGTCATGTCTATGAAAATGATGAACAAATCTCACGTATCACCGATCGGAAAGGTTGACTCTTCTATCAGCCGTTTAATATGGGCTCTAACATAATTTGAACACACAGCACAGAAATTATCAAACTTATTTTAATCAGCAAGTTGTCATGCTTCAAGTTTTCAGGTGTCTGTGTAAATGGTCTATACCCTTAACGAGATACCTGCAATACCTTCACATTACGTAATCTTACATCAAGAAGAAATACTGACGAACAATTATGAATAAGATTAATAAATGTCTTGGAAACAATCATATCAAGCTGTTAGTTTATTTAAATATTGGGTGTTCAGCTATAACTGTTCCTGTGTTTTCCTTAAACTCGCATATTACATGTAATTCGACAAAATCCACAAATGGATAATAAACTGATAAATCAGCGACAGCAAGATCTACATGTATCTGTTCACAGCAACGATTATTATGGAACTCTACAAAGTCTGATCCATTAGCAATTTCATTAAAATTATATAATGTTTTGTTTAGTTTCATTCGATAGACTTGAGAAATCAATAATATTTATACTGATCAAAACGAGGAAAAACGGTCTTGCACGTGCCTCAAGTTCATACTGTAATGTTCTCTCTCTCTATTTCTCTCTCTCTCTCTCTCGTAACCCACTAATTGGTACAGGTATAAACAGACACGTAGATAAAATAGTAATGAATCATTATTTGATTTAATTAATTTCAAATACTTTAATTATTAATTTGTTTTAAAAGTTTGGTTTTTTTTACACTCAGTTAAAAAAGCAACAATATAATGGCTAAAATTTCAAGGCGGTTATCTCATTTGAAAATGATATCGATGAAATAATGAAACATTGAATCAAATGCTGTGTTGAAATGCTAGACAACGACGTGCACATTCAAAGAGAGTTATTCAAGGTACTCTAGGACAGGTGTAAAAGCCCCAGGGCATGCCGTTTCCTGTGCTGGGACTGCTAATCCCTATACACAGGAAATGATCGTGGCTAATACTTAATACACAAAGAAACAGAAATTGTCAAAGAAATTGAAAGTATTGGATTATTAATGTATCGTAATCCCCTTCTTTAATTTAATTTGTTCTGTGAAGTTTATCAACGTACCTGTACATCCTATCTTCTTTTATTGCACATGAAAATGGAGAAATATTAAAATTAATGAAGACATATTGTTTGAAACACAAGTAAATATTAAGATTTGTGCACATGATGACCTACATTAAACAATTTTCAGCACTGATGAAAAAAGTGTGCAAAATATACACAAATTCCCAAAATACCTTTAATTTCAGACATATCTACAGGCTTTCTCTGTGATAAGCCATCTGTATGATCCAGCTGAACAATAGCAGAGGTGGAGTCTAGAATTAGGTCTTGTTGATCATCGAAGGTCCGTAGATTATTTAACAATAAACCACTACTGCCTCCCTCATCAAATGCAGCAGACATAACTTTAAACAAGGGATCCACCTGCAAAGAAATTATCACTATAATTTGTAACATATTATAGAAAACTATATAAACCATGTTGTGTTTATAATAGGATGTAATTTTTTCATGAGAATTTGTTCCTTTGGATTATGACTTTAAATCATCAAACTAGTATTTGCCAAACTAAGTAACGTAACTCCTGCAAGAACTCAAATTATGGACACCACTGAAATAAAACTATGATAACTCACCTCAAATTCTAGGTCCATTTTACTGACATTAATGTTTTTCAGGTTTGACTCTATTGTGTTATTCTTCTTTGTCTAAAACATAAATATTTCACATGAACTTGATATGACTGTTTGAATTCAAGTGAACTTTTCATGGTTATAAGTATTGTATTGTTTAAAGGACAATTGTATGTTGAAGACATGAAGCATATACACTGTCCTGAAACATCACTGAAAGAACTCTCACCCTTTTCTTCTTTTTGATTTCCTCTGGCTGATCTTCCCCATGAAATCTTTCCATGTAACATATATTTGGAATTAAGATTCAATACTTTGTATATGCACCCCTTATTTACAGTCACCACTTTTGAATAAAAGCATTTCCTTTGTCAAAAAATCTTAAATTTTTCCGTTTTAATTTCTTTTCATTAAAAAATAATGTCTTAATCATATGATTAAACATAAATACATGTGATTATTCATACCTAAAAATAGGGCATCCTCATTTTTAGTTAAACAATGACTTTATTAAGAAAACTATAATTATTTCAATATCATTTAGTAATTTTTTTAAATAGTACCCGATCTTCTTCAGCCTTAAATTTTAGCACTGGGCGTTAAAGTAACACTGGCGACCTACAAGAAACATAATAACAACACAGCATAAATCTTAGCACTGGCATCTAATGTAGTACTGGCAACCTACAAGAAACATAACAACACAGCATAAATCTTAGCACTGGCATCTAAAGTAGTACTGTCAACCTACAAGAAACATTACAACGCTAGCAATAGGGGAGGTGGGCACTGGTCTGACATCTGGTACATGTATTATTTAATGTATCAAATGCCAGTGATTTATCAGCCTACTTTGGAAAACACCTTTTTTTGGAAATTGGGAAAAAGTTATTGGCTTTTTGATGAAATTGGGAAAAATAAATATGTTGCTTAAGCCATGTATTCACTATAAATTCAGGTGCAATTTATTTAACATATCAGCTGAAATGCCTCTACCAAACAGACAATTAAATATGATCCAACTTTATCATACAAGATCAATTATGAATAATAGACTAATAAAAGTAAATTTGAAATCAACGAGTATTAATTTTATACAACTTAGGGTAGTATATTTGTGTATAAGATTCCAATTTAGGTCATGGGAGATATAAACACAGGTAATCAGAGATTACAGAGCTCACCTCAACGTGTGTTGTCTTTAAGTAAGGCAAATTAAGTCACACAATTAACCAACAAAAAGTGTACATCCAAAAATGCAAAATTTATGCAATTTTGATACTTTGGAATAGACCTATATAAAAACTAAAAACTAGTTCTTCATCATGAAAATGTAATTAAAATCCAGCATCTGAAGCAAGATTGAGAGTTTTCATCCTTTGATGCATCATTTGTGCAACTGGTTTATATAAGCCTTATAGTTTCGTGGTGATAGACCTGCACCCATAACTTTTACGAGGTCTATTATCTGGAAAATGTATGTCGAATTCAGCATCTGAAGCAAGTCCATTAGTGTGCATCCTAAGATGTATCATCCATGCAAGTTTGGTCAACATAGGGCTTAAAGTAACTTGCAAATGAAACCTGTATAAAAAAATTAACCTTTCCACTAATCCAGAAAATGTAGGTCAGATCAGCATCCGAAGCCAGCCTAGTAGAATGCACCCTTAGATGTACCATCCATGCAAGTTTGGTCATTATATGGCTCAAAGTTACTTGGAAATGAAATCCTGCACCATAAACTTTAACCTGTTTACTCGTCCAGAAAATGAAGGTCATATTCAGCATCCGAAGCAAGTCTGGTAGTATGCATCCTAAGATGCACCATCCATGCAATTTAGTCATTATAGGGTTCATAGTACACTGTACCTTGAAAATGAAACTTTCAACAAAAACTTTAACCTGTTCACTCTACCGGAAAATGTAGGTCAGATTCAGCATCCGAAGCAAGGCTGGTAGTATGCATCCTAAGATGTACCATCCATGCAAGTTTGGTCATTATTGCTGATAGTAAACTGGAAATGAAACATTCACCAAAAACTTTAACCTGTTCACTCAACCGGAAAATGTATGTCAGATTCAGCATCCGAAGCAAGGCTGGTAGTATGCATCCTAAGATGTATCATCCATGTAAGTTTGGTCATTATATGTCTCATAGTAACGTGGAAATGAAACCTGCACCAAAAACTTTAACCTATTCACTCAACCGGAAAATGTAGGTCAGATTCAGCATCCGAAGCAAGTCTAGTATATACATTTAAGATGTACCATCCATGCAATTTTGGTCATTATAGGGCTCAAAGTAACTTCGAAATGAAACCTGCACCAAAAACTTTAACCTGTTCACTCAACCGGAAAATGTAGGTCAGATTCAGCATCCGAAGCAAGTCTGGTAGTATGCATCCTAAGATGCATCATCCATGTAAGTTTGGTCAACATAGGGCTTATAGTTACATATAAAATTATAAATATATTGTTACACCAAAAACTGCACCAAAAATGTTAACCTGCACCAAAAACATTAACCTGGTCATTCCTTTGCTGAAATTGCAGCAAAATCTGAAAAACTTTAACTGGTACAATGAAACACACTAGCAACATCTTCCATGCATGTCTAATCAATATAGGACATAGATAGTACTTAAAAAGAAAACTGCTCCAAAAAAACGGTGTCTTTGTGGGTGAGATGTCATTTGGTGACATTTTTTAAATGAAACACACTCAAAAACAAAGTTCTTTGTTCCATGCATGTCTAATCAATATAGGACATAGAAGTTTTATCACAAGAAAACTCTCCAAAAAACTTAACCTTAACCCGGGACGCCGACGGTAAAGGTCTTGCCACAAACTTCGTTGATGAGCTGAAAAAAGAATTTTTTCTTGATATCTTGCATAAAAGAATATTTAAGTTCACGTGCATACTACTCTCGCCATCGAATGTTTCCTGTTATTTGACACTTTAAGAAAAATGCCTGCACATTTATACAATAAAGCGAAATTAATTAAATTAAGTGTTCTAAATTTGGAACAAGAATACAAACAATATGAGGATGTACATTTTTTTCAAAGATTAATTGTACATTTTTTTTCTAATGAATGCTGCATGAAAATCGTTTATCGAAACTCACACTGTCTGAGTTCAGCAGTAATTAAAGTTTGCATATATTATGAGTACCCGGTAAATTAAAAAAAACCCCTAATTTTTCTAGTATTTAATTTTGTTTCTTGTTAGACTCTCAATGACGAAAAAAATTAACCAATTGAATAAAATTTTTAATTCTAATTCAAATATCGATATATAATTTTAGAAACAAAAATAAATATATTTTTTCTTAGCTTATTTTCTATTGATCATAGCAAAATAAATGAAAATACTTCTTTTAATAAACATACAGTGTCATTCGCTTTTTTGTTACGGGGGAAAAAAAATTACAATTCGGGGAGCAATTGGTTTGTTTACAATACTAATTGTCAGTAATTGATCGATGATTTAACCACAGCGGGGACAGGTAGTTGATGAAATTCCCGCAGAGGGAAACGGTTTACCTGTCTCAGCTGGCCAAATACCGCGTTGTGATTATACCGCGACAAGGCGCGGAAAATACGGGATCTGCGTTGCCTGTACTGTATCTCAACACGCTCGCTAATAATGCCAAAATTAAATCCTCGCTAAATTTTTTGCTTATACAGTATTTACCTAATCATCTTCCCTTGCTTAAGGGTCACAACCCTACTTTTAGTTTAAATGGGAGACCTTGGGTCAAGGATACCCTGTGACAAATTTGACAATGATTGGCTAATGGGTTCTTCAGGTATGGTCCATATTCTAAAAAGTATATGTGCAGAACACAAATGGCCATGGCATTAGCTCTTTGAGCCTTTGGCTAAGAAGAGCTAATAAAACTTTAACCAAGATAATGTAAAGAAGAAAACTAACATGAACATGTGTCATTCATTCCATTCTGGTATTCATGACAAGAAAGCAATAAGGTGTTAATTGAATGTGAAGGGTATACCCCAGTCCTGATATTGAAGATTATTTGGAAAACTTATATGGCATATACCTATCTATATGAGTCATGGTCAGCTTGAAGTAGAAAACTTACATCTTGCCTAAAGCTATTGATGACCTTGCAAGTCCCAAGATCTGAAAGTTATCTTCCTGGTAGAAGAGATCTTCCATAGCCTCCTGTTCTGTTGTCTACAGTACTGTAATTAAACCAAATATGTTCCTTTACTGAAATTGGAACAATTAAATTCAATAAATTCCTTTTTTACTCCTGTTCTTTTATCTAAAAGCACAGAATGGAGTCCACTTATGTAATCTCCTTACTAGAGGATTACACATTTTCATTAGGGATGGCAATCGATTGCAGAATTGCTAATCAGTTAACCGCAAAACGGTCCCACCGATTAACTGGTTAATCATATCAAGATATGCATTTTTGACATTTTCTTTTATATATACACAAAAGGGTTAAAAAGATGTTAAAAATTACATTCTGTTTATTATTTTGATCAAGAAATTTTATGTACATAAGAGTATATTTTATTTTGTCAATATAGACAAGAAACATAGGTAATCAGAGATTACAGAGCTAACCTCAATGAATGTTGTCTTTAAGTAAGGCAAAGTCACACAATTAACCAACAAAAAGTGTACATCCAAAAATGCAACATTTATAAATGCAATTTTGATCTGATATTTTGGAATTAGACCTATATAAAACCTTCAAACTAGTTCTTCATCTAAAAACGTAATTAAAATCCAACATCTGAAGCAAGTTTGAGAGTTTTCATCCCTTGATGCATCATTTGTACAAGTTTGGTTTATATAAACCTTATAGTTTCTGGGTTACTAATAGACCTGCACCCATAACTTTTACAAGGTCCATTATCTGGAAAATGTATGTCGAATTCACCATCTAAGCAAGTCTATTAGTGTGCATCCTAAGATTTATAATCCATGAAAGTTTGCTCAACACAGAGCTCAAAGTTACTTGGAAATGAAACCTGTATAAACTAGAACTGTCCAATTGGGACAAATACCCCCCGCTGGGTTTTTCAGAGAATGTGCCAATTCACAGGTGTTCACAACTTATTTACAAACATTTGCAGTGAAATATAATTGCTCATTATCTTTCTTAATGAATGAAACAAAGGTGCAGCCAAATGAAACATTAATACTAATACAATGTAATTCCATTATAACATTTTTTTTTATTTTTGCATTGAAAAAATATATTGCAATTATGTGTCATGACACTCTGCAAACTGATTGTTGAAAAAAAAAATCATATTATACAAAATCAAATTAATCTTGATAACTTTATATCAAATTCATTTTGAAAATAAAGAACTGGTCATCCTGTAATGAATTGCTTTGACAGACAATAAATTACAATTAAGAGAAATAGAGAAGAGAGATCTTTAATTCTTGTGCCAAATTCCCAGGAGATTATAGATAACCTTAACAACTTCCCACACCAAACTCATTAATTTATCTTGAACTGGATGCATGTCCGGTCATTATTCCCAAGAGACAAATGAATTTACATTATCTTCTATGTAATGTAAAAACTGTTTTTAACACTTGATGATGTGTCTTTTTTTGTTTTTGTTTTAATGAGTAGTTTTAAGCTGTAGTTCACATTTTTGTACAGATATTCTAGATTCTATGTCTCAAACCTTATACATGAGCCCAAAATGAACAAGTCAATTAAAATAAAAAATAAAACCTGTAAAATACAGAAAAATGAACAAATAAAGTTGAAAATTCCAGGTGCACACCTTCATATGGTGAATAATAACTGTACAAATTTTCAGATAAATCCTTGCAATAGGTTTCTGAGAAATGGTCTGCACAAAACCACAAAATAAAAATGAAAAAAACACCTGTAAAATTCAAAATAATCATCCAATCAAGATGAAAATATCAGGTGCACACCTTCATATGGTGAATAATATGTGTACAAATTTTCAGACAAATTCTTCCAATAGTTTCTGAGTAATGGTCCAGACAAAATCTCGTCTACAGACAGACGGACAGATGGACGGATGGACAGATGGACATGGTAATTCCAATATACCCCCCCTAAACTTCGTTTGCGGGGGGTATAAAAACTTTAACCTGTTCACTAATCCAGAAAATGTAGGTCAAATTCAGCATCTGAAGCAAGCCTAGTAGAATGCACCCTTAGATGTACCATCCATGCAAGTTTGGTCATTATATGGCTCATAGTAACTTGGAAATGAAACCTGCACCAAAAACTTTAACCTGTTCACTCAACCGGAAAATGTACGTCAGATTCAGCATCCGAAGCAAGTCTAGTAGTATGCATCCTTAGATGTACCAACCATGCAAGTTTGGTCATTATATGGCTCATAGCAACTTGGAAATGAAACCTGCACCAAAAACTTTAACCTGTTCGCTCGAACGTAAAATGTAAGTCAGATTCAGCATCCAAAGCAAGTCTGGTAGCATGCATCCTTAGATGTATCATCCATGCAAGTTTGGTCACTATAGTGCTCATAGTTACTTGGAAAGTGAGAAGTGCACTGAAAACATAAACCTGTTCACTCATGCGTAAAATGTAGGTCAGATTCAGCATCCAAGGCAAGTCTAGTAGTATGCATCCTTAGATATACCATCCATGCAAGTTTGGTCATTGTAGGGCTCATAGTACCTTGGAAATGAAACGTGTCCCAAAAACTTTAACCTGTTCACTCAACCAAAAATGTAGGTCAGATTCAGCATCCGAAGCAAGCCTGGTAGTATGCATCCTTGTATGTATCATCCATGCAAGTTTGGTCACTATAGTGCTCACAGTTACTCAGAAATGAGACCTGCACCGAAAACATAAACCTGTTCACTCATGCGTAAAATGTAGGTCAGATTCAGCATCCGAAGCAAGCCTGGTACAGTACCGACCAGACCCAACCTGACACAAAGCAGTCCTAGAGCAGTCCCAGAGTGGTCCCAGCAGTCCCAGCGGTCCCAGAGAGCAGTCCCAGCAGTCCCAGTGGGCGGGGTTTATTAATTTTATGGGCGGAGCTAACTCAGAAATGAGATTTGCAATAAACAATGGAACTATAAAAGGCAATAGAAATTGATTCTGGGTAGTATGCCAGAACTCCTTACATGTATGCAAAGGTCATTTATGAACATTACGCACATAGAAACAAATTGAATTAATATTTATTGAAGGAAGAAGGCTTGCATATGTACGTGTATAAAATTAAACTGAACACGAACATTTAATCACAATTATCGGGTGTATTAATAATTCAATTTCTTTATTTTCTGTGATTTATGCTGTTTCCCATATTTATTTTTTATACAGAAAATTAAACTGATTAATTATTTTCCACCAGTAAGAATTGGCTTTAAATAGATCTCATCATTATATGGCCAATTTTTATTCTATAGGGATACTCAAAAGTACGGAAGCCCATTAGTGCCAACCTGTATATATAAAGGAAAAGCGATGTATAAAAGCAAACCTCTATATATACAGGAAATGCGATATACAGGTGACTCTCGATCTCTCGAAGTTCAAGGGACCAGCATAAAACTTCGAGAGATCGAAGGGTTCGAGAGATAGAAAGTGACTTAATTCCGGAATTTTCAGTTCCGATCACCATCGTTCTACTATTATAGTTACCGGAAGTATATGTTGAGAATATGCTGGATTTACTATTGCACGTTTTCAATTGGTATTTAACAGGTAATTCATTTGATTTTCACCACAAAGATCGTATTTTGAATAAATAAAATGACTTTTAAAGTTTCGTTGCTTATTTGTTCTCATTTCATGATAAACAGTTACATACATGTATACCGGAAGTATCTGTTGATAATATGCTGTCATGGCACGTTTTAATTCGTATTTACCTGGTAATTTGCTTTAATTTCACCACAAAGATCGTACATGTTTTCTAATCTCTAATTTCTAAGAAAAAAAACTTTTTAAGTTTCGATATTTATTTTTCTCATATCATTTTAAACAATACATATAAAACTTGTACATGTGTAATAAATAATGTCTAATGTTTTAACGAGTCACGTCACAGCACATATTTTGACAAAGTTTATAAAGCACATGTCGTCACTTTACTTCTTCTGGAAGAAAGTTGTAATTCTTGATTGCTGGGTTGACTTCTTAAGAACATTGTCTCTGCGTATTATGTCAAGAATCACACTCATCTGGCGCACAAAGTCTTGACTGTTTTCACGGCACATTAGGTACTGCATCACAAGTTCACCGGCTGCCTCAGAGTCCTCTGAGTTAGGGGGTTGGATTACAGGCTCACTTGGATCGTCAAATGTCTCTGATTCCACCATGGGGTCGGTAGTTTTCTTCATCAAGATTTCCTCTACAATGTCATCATCACTTAGGTCGGCACAGGTCTCGATCTCATCGTCGATAGTTGTAAATGTCTGGAGCATTTCTGGGTTTAGGCCGTGTGTTCTTAGAGTCGCAAGGGGAATGCTGTCTTCTACGTCGAAGTCTTCGTCTTCATCTGGGGTTGCGTTGTCATTCTGGGCAGCAAATCCAGCATGTCGGAAACAATTGGCAATTGTGGACAGCGTAACGTTGTCCCATGCCTGGCTGAGGAGATGAAGGGCGTCTAGGACGCTGATAGTTGGTGTCTGTCCTTTGTCAATAGCGCTGATGTACCGCAGGAGAACTCGTTTCCGGTACTGGACTTTGAGACTCTGGATTATGCCTTGGTCCATGGGTTGAGTCTTTGAGGTAGTGTTGGGGGGCAGGAACACCAGGTCGACTGCTTGGAGGCCAGGAATCTTTGGGTGGGCGGGGCAGTTGTCAACAATTAGGGCAATCTTCTTTTTCTTTTTTCTCATCTTCTTCTCCAGCTTCTTCACCCATTCTTTGAAGATGTCGGATTTCATCCACGCTTTTTTGTTGGCATGGTATTCTGTAGGCAAGGACTTGACATGCTTAAAGCATCTTGGGTTTGCCGATTTCCCGATGATAAGTAGGGGAAGCTTGTCTGTACCGCTCATGTTGGCGCAGACCATTGCCGTCAGCCGTTCTTTGTTCTTCTTTCCACCATGGCAGTCGACGTCTTTGAATTCTAGGGTCTTGTCTGGAAGCATTCTGAAGAAGATGCCGGTCTCATCTGCATTGTAGATATCGTCTGGGGAGTACGTCTGTAGGAGTAATGGCAACTTTTCTTTCCAGAGG